CGGTACTCACTAACTTGGCCGATCTCATGAACCGATCACAATTTGATGACGTCAACGCGTGACGATGTACATGATGCGTGGGGACATAAAAGATTTGGCACCGCAGTCATGTCATCGGAAATGCAATGACGTTTCGAGAAACAATGAAAAATTTGCTATTTGTCATGTATGTTTTGCATGATGATATGATGAATGGATGGTTCATTTTTAACAGCAGATTCAGTGATCTTAGAGCTGATCTGCGCCTCACTGCACACGTCTGCGGCACATTACGGCACCACGGGAACCGGAGCTGATCTAGTCAATGCCGCGGCACGTTTCTGAAGAGGCTCTCCGTGCTGCTTGGCTAAAAATGGTCTTTTGGGAGTTGTCACAGAGTTGAGTGATCATCTAGACTAGTGCGTGATGCTGAACTGCGCCTGTTATCTGTATTTCTCACTCTGCCATCTGGATCTCGCACGGTGAGGTGGACACCAACCACGGGGTCAGTGAGATAAAGCGAGCGCTGTGTTGTTGTTCTCCCGCCAGAGCCCGTTGAGGATGTAGATGTAGAACAGGGCCGGATCAACGGTGATTCACAGAGCGCTGAGGTGATGGAGAAAAGCAGCCCACCTTGTGCATCCAACCACACCGAGCATTAAAGTGGAGTAAACTGTTACTGCTATTATCTATCTCTCACCAGAGTAGAGAGCCTCAACTGGATGTGCTAGTGTGCATAGAAAATGGGTTGTGGCGTTGTATGCGACTAGTAGTACATTAAAGTGAAGGAAACATCTAATACTGTTGTACAGACAAAACAAATACATAATAGTTTACCATTGAAATGTTAACTGTCAGTAAGATTTAAAGTCTCCTATGCTTCTCAAAGCTGCACTAACTTGGCCGATCTCATGAACCGATCACAATTTGATGACATCAACGCGTGACGATGTACATGATGCGTGGGGACATAAACGATTTGGCACCGCAGTCATGTAATCGGAAATGCAATGACGTTTCGAGAAACAATGAAAAATGTGCTATTTGTCATGTATGTTTTGCATGATGATATGATGAATGGATGGTTCATTTTTAACAGCTCATTTGTCAATCTATATACAAATGATATAAAGATTTAAAGGTCACACTTTATTTTAAGATCAAATTCTAGCTTAACAAACCATTAACTACGTTATGGGGTTATGGTTTTGGGGTAAAATTAGAAATGCTCCGAACAATCGGCCGAAGATCGGTATCGGCCGATAATCACATTTTATGACTCGATCGGTACTCACTACACTTGGCCGATCTCACGAACCGATCACAATTTGATGACGTCAACGCGTGACGATGTACATGATGCGTGGGGACATAAAAGATTTGGCACCGCAGTCATGTCATCGGAAATGCAATGACGTTTCGAGAAACAATGAAAAATTTGCTATTTGTCATGTATGTTTTGCATGATGATATGATGAAGTTTACCATTGAAATGTTAACTGTCAGTAAGATTTAAAGTCTCCTATGCTTCTCAAAGCTGCAATTATTTGATCAAAAACGCAATAAAAACTGTAATATTGTGAAAATATTATTGCTATTTAAAATATCTGTTTTCTATTTGAATATATTGTAAAATGTAATTTATTCCTGTG